TTAATACTACATTGTGAATTTGTATTGTTCACATGAGTTGCAATGTCAACAGAGTTGTTGTTGCTAATCTCATTACTTGAATAAGAAAGAGCTGAGTAATAACAGAAAGCTGCCTCACTTAATATTCTACTCTCAAGCTGAAGACTCACGTAATGACTGTTTGATGATTGCATATTCTTGCTTATTCTTAATGGCATTTTTTATGCCTGACAAAGTTGTAACTCTTTGAATCTTGTCTGAACCATCAAAACACAGCTCTAGTATCTTTGGAAATGCACTGGAGTCTGCTCCTAAAAAGCAACACAAGTAATGACTTGATCTCTTATGATGTCTAATACAATGTCAAAGATAAAAGACCTTTATTTGTCTATATTTATATGTGTRATCACAAAAACAATAAATCTTTATGGGTCTCATGGTATAAGCATGTTGCAAACATTATAGCTAATAGGGAAATGTTTCTCAGCTTACGTTTGACTAACTTTGTCAATAGATGTACATTGTATAATATATTGAAGTGTAGGGTGGTGCAATGTCTCTTTGCTTGGGTAGGGCTTAACAAGTTTATATACAACCACAACTGTTATCATCTTTAGTCTGCTTCACTAAATTGGATGTGCAAAGGGTGATRGTAGAATTCAGTTTATGTATATTGYACCCACCTGAAAATTTGGTTTTTGTGAATACAAAAGCAAACACAGGCAAAGGTGAAATTGTTACAACATAGTGAACTCGAATGAACCATCCATTTGAAAAGTAGGATAAAAGTTTTTCGAGAATGTGTTCCTGCACCAATGTGATGCATATGTATCGACCATTAGTTTTAAGGACTCTCTGTACTTCAGAAAACATTTGGTCCACATCTGCAACAACAGAATCATCTTGATCACTGACAAATATTGCATCCAGTGCTCCCTTATCAAGAATGACATTGAATTGCTCTTCTGAAAAGGTCATCTGAAATTGAAAAAATAAATCAAGATGAGAAAGATGTAAATTAATGTGGAAACTAAAAATATTTCCATAACTTTCAAACACATCAGTTTCAAAAACTCCAGGACCAGTGGTCTGAGAAAATATAGGTTACAAGTTACATGTACTACTTCCCATGAAATAATGGTTAGGGTTAAAGTGCTACTTGCATGAAAATGGTCTTATTTCAAAACGTCAATCAATACAAATATATGACTCATTTATATCTATGAAAAACAAATGCGGGAAAAGATTTGTTTTGGAATTATCCCACATCAGAGAAATTTTGATTCAAAAGATGGAAGAACAAAAGGATTGAGTAAATGACGTCATCTACTCCAACATTTTTTGCCCAAATTATTAAGGATTTGTATCAATATCTTCTTGAAATCTGTTGTTTCATGATTATTAGACCCATATGGATAGGTCTATTTGATTTCCAAGTCTTTTCTAATGTTTCGCAATTTTCGTCCAAGTAGCCCTTTAAAGGACATTGGAAATTGTCCTGACTACAGCCCATACATGTAATTGCTGATGATTGGTATGTATCAGTGAATCAACCATTCAGTTCTATTCAAATAGTGAGCAGATAGGCAGAATTTCCTATTGCTATGGCAGCCTACTAAGATCCAAGAGGCTCACTATGATGGCTAATTTATAGGTAATTGATATGTGCATGATGAGCTTCTTCCAAATCCCTTGAAGTTGAGAGTTTTGTGTAATGATTTTTTATGATTAATAATTTTTTGTGAGTTGAATATATGAATGAAGAGGGGAACGAAGAAGGGGAGGGAAATAGTAGAAATGAGATTGAAGGTATGCATTTATTTTTTGTGAGTAGTTTTGTTAGTTGAATGGATGAATGAAGAGGGGAATGAAAAAGGAAAGGGAAATAGTAGGCACGAGATTAAATATGGGCAGGAGAGGAGATAATGAAATTGTGTGATTAAAGGTTCTTAGTGTGTGGGGGTGATAATTAGAGATGAGTTAAATACTAGATGAGTGAGTGAGATGAGGTAATTCGAGTTTCAGTACCTTGAGCATATCCATCTTGATGAATTGCATCTCTGGTCTCCTGTCCTCATTCCTGTCTTTCATTTGGGTTATAACTACGTCTGATATATCAATATTAACAAGGCCATGATATCCAAGGTCGTATAGATCTTCACTTAATCTTGAATTCCCGCAACCAAGAACAAGAATATTGTCTTTTACTTTACTATACTTGTGTAAGACTGCTGACAATTCGAAGTAATCACCATACCACTCAAATGCTTCTTTTCTCTTAAGAAAAAATTTGTCCCAGTACTCCTTAGTTTTGAATTGTGAGTCGGATTTAGGCAATAGATTCATCTTTGAACTGAATATGAGGCTCACTTCTTACAACTCGTCCGCCATATTGCACGTGTCACCTGTGAKGACTTGATAGGGGTCTACTAGTCAGAACCAAATAAACCCTCGTAGGGTCCGTGGGGATTCTGTACGTGGGGGAGGGGACAGGGAGCCCGCCACTAAGAACGGCTGCGAGGAGACTATCGTTTGGGCGGCAATGAAGTAATTGAGGCTTATTTGACATTCCACCTTCGAGACAAAAACCCAATTGAAGAGATTTCTACAACGAAAATAGTCCGCACTACGGTGATTGCCAGATACGAGTCTAGTGCCCTAGTGGTGCGTTTGGGACACACAACGTACAAAGCACTATGGGTAGATTACTCGAGCGCTATCACAGGGCACGTTTGGCGCACGAAGAACGGCGAGCTACATGTACAATGGTAAGGATTAGTTTTCGTCATTTTGTGCTTTGAAATTGCTCAGATTGATCTAATGAAAGATTATTTGTAAGCATCCATGTTAACCAAACAATCTGAAAACATATTTGTGTTGATATATAAAAGAAAGTGTAGTTTCAGAGTGATAAATTTTGAGGTGACAATACACGGGCACTTTCGAGTTGAATACTTATTACTGTGAAGACTTTTTGTGTTTGCGAAGTAGTCTTATTGACATATTATCAAAAGGAAACATTATTTGGTGACTTTTTCAATAGGAATTGTACAAAAGTCTTTGTAAGGTAATCTCGGGGTACCCACTGTTTGTCGTGACATGGTAAGGTATTGGCACCTATTCTCGGACACTTTCGCTCAAGTTGAAAAAATGGCGCGATTATACAAAATTTAATTCTTTACTTACCTTTGAAGACTTGTTTTATCTGTTTGAAATAATTTTATTGACATATAATCAACAGAAAATAATATTTAATAACGATTTCAATAGGAATTGAACGACCGCCTCTGAAACCTATTCTCGGGCAGCCATACCTATTCTCAGGCAGCTAAAAATTAGCCTTTAAAGTCCCGAAATTTAGCCTTTCGTGTAGTTGAGGTGTTTTAAATCGCATATCACCTAATTCCGTATTGTTATCCGGTGATTGCGAGTCCACCGGTGTTATACGAGTCTAGTGGTGCGGTTGGGACACACAACGTACAAATTATGGGTAGATTACTCGAGCGCTGTCATATGGAGTCTCATTGCCGGATTTCAAACCGAGTGGGGACTGGGCAAAATCACCTAATTGGATGATCACGAGATTTCACGAGATAAGACTTACATAGAATGAAAACCCTTGTTGAGAAATGCAAAATTCCAAAATCTGGTGTCAATCAGTTCAATAGTGAATGAGTTACGGCCTTTCAAATATTCTAAAATTTGCAAAGAAATGTATGGGAAGCTGCAAATGYGTCCGAATTTTGACCATTTTCCGGACACATTCACGGCTTTCCAAACAAGGGGCCATTTCATTGAGCATGCACAATATGCTTGAGCTACCTTGGTATGGTCATATCACTGTTTCGTAGCTCGTTGTCGGTTGAGATGTATACATAATTTACGTTCAGGAAAATACCCTTTTTCATTCTTCAACAAGTAATTGATTAGGTTCAAACGTCAAGTCTAGTATGGAATATGTGTTTAAAGTCTTATTCTAGTTAAATTTCTGGAGTATATCTGCTTAAAATATGGTTAAAAATCATACAGGCTGATCACTGACTTGGAGAAGATAAAATGGCGACTGAAATGTGGTCAAAACCATACTTTGTMGTTGGTTTATCTTAGGAAACGAGACGCTCTGGTGCCTGTTCTTATAGCCATGTAAATTGGATGCTATTTGTACTTTATGACAACATTTTGTTTTGAAACCGCTTGCAATTAAAGTGGCAAGATTCACACAGCCTTTATGCGATAATTGTTAAATCCGCGCTTTTTGACAATTTTCATCTTGAAATATTATTAAATCTAGTGAAAATACCAATGCGAACCAAGCAGAAATGATTATAATCGTATGTATTGATACTGTTTTATTGGCGAGGATGGATATTTTGGCCTTTCAAGATTGTAAGCATTGTTTACATGGTCATTATGTTTTAGTCAAAACTCGTGAACTTTGAAATTTTCGAGCAATAAATCAGATGTATTTACATGTTAYACCCATTACAAAAGGCCATACATGATATATCAGCGATTGGATAATTGTTTTGCTATTTACGAAGAATCAAATACATGATAAATATGCTAATGTGGTTACTATGATTAATAATTATATATCTGACTTGCGTGAGAAAATACCAGACTTATTTCATTTGATTTGATGTCCTTTGTTTCTTTGCTTCTGATATATCAAGTTTGAATTTCTTAAAAAATTGGCTAAGCTTGGTAAATTTGCAATATTCTACCATATGATGCTCTGTTTTGCCTGTCATAAATATGAAATAAAATTGTTAAAGCTTGTTTTTAGCTACAGAAAGGGGCTAATTCAGCTGATGGGCGCAGGGAGTTTGTAATAACCCCCTCGCCCCCTCGARATTTAGTATGCTTCCTTTTATTTGTGTCTCCTTTGTCATGGTTTCTTGGAGAGCTCCCTGGCTGAGTGCCCTGCACCACTCCCGGGAAATAATGTAATCTTCACACAGTGGTTTACTGCATGTAACATCAAGTACAACAAATCTGCAACATTTCTTTTGATTTCATGTATTGTCATCTGATCTTCTTATCTTATAAAACAGGTGGGGAAGAGGGCTATAGCTCCCCAATTTATTGCTCAGAAGACAAATTTTGAAATAGTATTAACGTTTTTTTTGATGGAATCCACTCATTTTTCAAATGCTATCCGAACTCGACTGCTCCTCAGTCTCTGATTATTATACTTTGTTTTATCAAGCGCCACAAATACGCGCGTCCAACTCTAGACGTTTGATTGTTACAAACTAGATCTTTTAGCTATGTTATTGCAGATCGATAATTTCTTTAGTTTTTTTTTGTGTTGTTTTGTTGCATACTTCTCTTACCTGATATCCCTGTTTAATCGCTTCAAATACCTCGATGGTGGTCCACGTGCGATAAAAACTGCGTCTGTTTTCGGAATGAAAACAGACATCTAAATTTTCTGTTGCACACTTTTTGCAAAGTGGGAAATACAACTTACAGTTGATTTTCACAGGTAACACAGGGAAATGCAATTTCTCTGGGGCAAGCACTTTACACTTAATCAGACCAAAATATTGATTAAATCACCAAAGTTTTCTGTAATCAACCTTGGGTGGCCAATAACGTTAATTTTTGTCTTGTTTACATACGGATAGAGACTTGTAAAATCGAGATACAAGATCTTCTGTCCAGGCTTGGCTTTGCAATACAGCCGAGCGGGAGACACCCTCCCTCCGTAGAAACAATCTCTGGGTTTTAGGGGTTCTTCAAAATCGCGAGAGTTCTTTAAAGACAGAAGTCTGTTCCAACACACGAAAATCACACTCCCATATACAGTGGACCTTGTATCCCAACTCTTTCAGGCGGTTTTCTCTTTTCAAAGTCTGCTCGTAGACTTGCTTGTTGGTTAAATGTTTTTTAAAAACATTCGGGGAATCGCTATGAAAACATTTCAAATGACTGTGTGGTGCATCCGTAGCATTCAAAAACTTCTTTTTCTTCGGTATCAACACTCATCCCATCAACGTAATATGAGGCCTCAGTGTCTGGATCTTTAATGCAATACTCACCTGTGTTCTCTGCATGACGAATTTTTTTGTTTGTGACATAGCTCACAAACTCAAGCCATCGGATGCTACATTTGGAATAAGGCTTAGCCACGCCTCTGTACTATAATATTATAATAATAATGTAATAATAATGTTTAATACTATCAATTTGCAAACATAATTTGAAAATCTTGATATTTACCGTATTTACCCATGTATAAGCTGCTCTTGTAGATAGCCGCACCCCGAGTTTTAGGAACGTTTTTGAGGAAAAAAAGATGGAAAATAAACTTTTCTCTTTTTGATYGCCACTTGCGAACACAGCTTTCTCTGATTTTAAAGTGCTTTTCCGCTGCTCGATTTCCTTGATGGCCTTGCGCACGATGTTGGTGTACATGGCGAAAACKTRAAAAAAGAATCGAAAATTTGTTTTAGAAATGCTTTCATTTGAATGAAAATCCATCAAATTGGCTTTGTGCTACACCAAAATGTCGCAAATTTAGTGAACTTTGCTTTGAAATGAGCAAAATAGATGTAAGGCAACCACAAACAAAAATAATTAATAAAATGTTTCAGCCCCTCCAGAAAATATTTAGAAAGACCGCGTTACATGTTGAAATCAAA